CTGTCTGGATGACACCTCACGGATAAATAACAGCAGTGATCCTAAATCGAGATCACAACATGCTTTACACTTCTGCCTTGCACTTGGAGCAGGGAAAGCTCTCTCCAGGCTGCACAAAAACAGCATGGGAATTTTTTTTTTCCCTCTGTGCCAGGCAAAGCTGTGACATAAAGCCTACAGCTTGTTACAGGCTGGGTTGTTTTTTTTTTTTTTTTTTTTTTTTTTTTTTGGCGTTTTTTTTTTTTTATTATTATTATTCTTCTTTTTATCATTATTATTATTACTCTCTCCTGTCACGGATGCGCCATCCAGGGTTACAAGAAGCAGACGGGGCCGATGTCGATGCCGAATTCCTGGTCCGGAGCGCCGACGTCCATAGGAGCCAAATCGATGATGGGCAGGCGCGAGGTCTTCGTCGTCTTGTACTCGATGACCGTCTTGCCCCAGGCGCCCGTGTGACTCTGCGGGGACACCAGCGTCACCCCCCGTCCCCGGCGGGCGCCCCCCGCCCCGCGGCCCGGCACCCACCGTGCAGCCGTCCTCGGTGACGCCGTAGGTGAAGCGGCTGTTGCCCTCGGCGCGGATCTCGATCTCGTTGGCGCCCTGCAGCAGCAGCGCCTTCCTCAAGCTGCCGCTGGCCTGCTCCATGTAGGCCACGCTGTTCTTGCAGTGGTAGGTGACGTTCTGGGCCGCCTCGGTGGCCATGAGGCGCAGGAAGGTCAGCTGGATGGCCACGTCGGCCGGGTCGGAGCCCTCGCCGCCGTACTCGAACTGCGCCGCGGCACGGACGGACGGACGGACGTCGGTCAGCGCCGCGCCGCCGCGCCCGCCCGGCCCCGAGCCCCCCGCGGCCCCCGCGCCCACCTGGAAGCCGTCGCTCATGGCCTCGCCGAACCAGACGTGCTTCTTCTCCTTGGGGTTCTTGCTGAGGTACCAGTTCTTGCGGGGCACGGACGCCCGCGTCGGGTACACGCACGTCTCGCCCGTCTCCATGTTGCAGAAGACCTTGATGGCGTCCAGGTTGCAGCCTTGGTTGGGGTCGATCCAGTACTCGCCTGAGGGGACGGGACGGGGTCAGGACAGCGGGAGGACGTGGAGGGGACGGACGGCCACGGGGGAACCGGGGAGGGACAGCGGCGGGATGGACGGGAGGGACAGCGGCAGGGAGGGAGGATGAGGGTGAGGAGAAGCCCCGGGGATGGAACAGGTGAGGAGCAGCTCCAGGGATGGAGGTGAGGAGAAGCCCCAGGGATGGAGGTGAGGAGAAGCCCCAGGGATGGAGGATGAGGAGAAGCCCCAGGGGATGGAGAATGAGGAACAGCCCCAGGGATGGAGGATGAGGATGAGGATGAGGAGCAGCCCCAGGGA